TTGTTTATTTTCATATAAAAATACGGCATGCAGTTGCATCAAACAATGGTATAAACATCATTCAATGTAAATTGTGATAATCGTAATTAATAATCGCAATTACAATTTCAAGGGAATAATTGACAATTATGATTTTTGTCATAATCGTGCAGCCCTACATTATTACGTCATTGCATAATTACATAAATGAACTGGTGAATCAGTCATTTGAACAAGTTCATTGAAACAAACTGTCCAAAAGAACCAGTTTGTGGAAAATAATCAGACTTCCCAGTTTAAAATCAGCAGTATTTTATTGATGCATCTATAGAAAACCATCTAGATAATGGTGCATTTAAGAAGCCAGTGCCAAAACACTGATATGAAGAATCTGGAATGAGACATCAAGAACTTAAATTCCAAATTGACCTCAAAATGAACCTCAACAACCTTTAAAAAGAAAGGTTCTTTACTGGCATTGATGGTTCCATGAAGAGCCTTTAACATCCATGGAAACGTTCCAATCCACAAAATGTTCTTTATAGTGGAAAAAGTTTCTACAGATGATTAAAATGTTCTTCACACTAAGAAAAAATGGTTCTTTTAAGAAATGTTTACTGAAAGGTTCTTTGTTGAACCAAAATGGTTCTTCTACGGCATCACTGTGAAAACCCACTTTTGGAACCTTTATTTTTATGAGTGTAAGTGGTTTTTGATAAGATGTGGCTCTTTTCTGAAAGTGCTTCAAAGCTATTGAGGAATCTGGTAAATATTTAAGAAAATATGTGTTCAATGCATTTGCCAAAATGTGCAACATGGAAAAATGTATCGCACTCAACTTGTCCTTCCATTTCCAATAACACTTCATTTCATGTTTTCTTTGTTTGTAAATCATAGATCGTATTCAGTGTGCAGTGTGCATTATGCTCTCTGTATTTAACAGTAGTCTGTGTTGATGTCTGTAGGTGGTCTTACTGACCTGGTGGCCTGTTTTCCGTGATTCTTTCTTCTACATATTGTCTGTAGTTGCTCTAATTGTGGTGAGTCTCAAATAAAACGTAGACACATTACATCCTGTAATGCAGAGTTGATGAAAAGCTAATAATTGATAAAATCATAAAAATGTAAAATAATAATAATAATAATGAAGTAACAATAAAGATAAAAACACATTTGTTTACCTGCCTGTCATGTGACCATTAACTGAGATCGTGTACATGCAAATATGTTGTTAAATTATTGCAATAATCATTTTACATCTCAGGGGTTTATTTTACGTCAAATTGTTCACATCAAAAAAACTTTGGGAATAATATGGGATACATATATAGATTTTTTTATGCTGAAATTCAAATTTATTTAGCTTAACTTTTCTTCTCAATGAACATTCTACTGGAACTAGACTGTAACTGCACTGATTATCTTTTTGTTTGTCTTCTTGTCACCTGACATCAGTTCATCTATGATGAAAAGATTGTGTGGTGAGTCTCTTTTTGTTTTGCACTCTTGTCTGATTTTTGTAAACCTCCGTCTGACGTCTGGTTTTGATCGTGTGTTTCAGGTGGGAGAGTCTGGTGCTGGTGGTCATGTATGCTGTATATATCCTCATCATGAAGTGAGTATATATACACATGCTTGCAAAATAGAATAAAGTTCAAAAATAGTGATAAAACAAAATATTGTGATTTATGTTCAGAAGTACACATTAAATTGATCAAAAGTGACAGGAAATACATTTATGATTTTGCAAAAGATTCTTATTTCAAATGCATGCTGTTCTTTTGAAGTTTCTATTCATCTGTGAATCCTGAAAAATACAATGCATCATGGTTTTCACAAAAATATGAAGCAGCACAACTGTTTTCAACATTGATAATAATCATAAATGTTTCTTGAGCAGCAAATCAGCATATTAGAATGATTTTTTAAGGATTATGTGACACTGAAGACTGGAGAAATGATGTTGAAAATTCAGCTTTGATCACAGGAATAAATGATATTTTACAATATATTCACATAGAAACATTTATTTTAAATTGTAATAATATTTCACAATATTACTGTTTTTACTGTATTTTTTAGGGATGCACCGATACCACTTACTGATACCGAGTACCGATACCGATATTTTTATTGCATTTGTACATTTTTAAAATATTGGGTACAGAAACCAAAAGAGTATGTATAATGTTAGTTGGTTAACTTCATTTATCAAATAGATACAGTCAAACCAAAATGTATTCAGACACCTTCAACATTTCTCACATTATCACAGTTTATTCGCTATAGTTTAGAAAATGGTAATAAAATATAACAAGATTGATACCAGTATCGGTATCGGTGCATCCCTAGTATTTTTCATCAAATAAATGCAGCCTTGGTGAGCAGAAGAGACTAAAATTGTCTGTCTGTCATTTTGTTTTTGTCTATATTAGATTTAATGCAAGCTTGCAGAAGTTTTTCACAAGACGGAGCGACAAGAACGTTGCCAATGGAAACGCAGCGGCCGGCAGTGAACTGGAGGACGGTAAAGACAGTTTAGACTGTAACTGGGACGATCCGTCCATACCGCTGTTGGGTCCAGGTAAGACTAAACAGACAGGCTTTAAAACTTCAGATTTAATACAAGTTATACTCCATAATTCCATACTCATGTCAACCTCAAGTACAAAACATGAGGTCACCTGTCCCGCAGTACAACACATGAGATACAAGTGTGCCTTTACTCTTACTTGAAATGTAATGTGTTTAAAATACTGTACGTTCAAGAGTTCTGCAAGTTTTAAATACATTCAGTTATGCTCCAATAAAAATTATCTTTCTAGGGTATCTTTATGCTATATGTCTATAATGTGAGAAAAGTAATTCATACATACTGTGACTTGAATGATATCTTCAGTTACTGAATTAAATTATTTTGAAATATATTACACAAAATTATTATTATAATTATATAATTAATAAGCTCATAATGAAGAAATAAATGGGGAACACTTATTAGTTAATGTTAATTAATGCATTAACTAATATTAACTAACAATGAGCAATACATTTGTGACAGTATTTATTCATCTTTGTCAATGTTAATTAATAAATGCACGACTGTTCATTGTTAGTCCATGTTAGTTCAGGTCTATTAATTTTAATGATGAATTAGTAAATGTTGAAATTAATACGAACTGAGATTAATAAATGCTTTACAAGTATATTTCACTTTTAGTTCATGTTAACTAATGTAGTTAATTAATGTTAACTAATGGAACAATATTGATAAGAGTTACCAATAAATGTCTTATTAAGAAGCAGAAATATATATATATATTTAAATTTGGCACAATATCTTGGCATAATCTTTAAGTTATTAAAAAACATAATTACTTGAATAATGTATTCAATTACTGAATGTTTATATATATATATATAAACACACAAACATAAAATGAAATATTATAGAAAAAATATATATTATATTATAATATACAGTATAACGAAGAAGCTCATAATAAACAAATAAAATCCTCATCAAAACGAAGAAATAATAAAAAAAACAAATTGGGTATGATCTTGTACTGTAAGTTCTTTTCATAGGCATTTTTACCAGTCAGATTCTTATTCTTAAAAATATTAGATCGTTTTTCATTTGAGCTTTTTTCTCAAGGTTCTTGGACGTCTTGGTCTTATTTATTGCACATGCTCTGAACAGCACAACTGGTCTTTTGTCCAATTATGTTTTATGTTTGTGAGAGAAATGTCCTCCTGATTCAGCTCTTGAGATCTCTTCTCGCTGCTTCTGTCCGTCTGTGATTGAGAGGTACCGTCACTGCCTCATCCATCACTTCTGTCTCTTTACTCTTTTCCCCAGAGTTTGTCTCTTTCCTCATTCCTCATCTGCCTGTTTCTGGCGTCGGTATCTTCACGTTTAACTCTGCCTGCCTGTTTAGTCTTACTAAACCTTTCTGCGTTTACTGCACACTCTTTCTCTGATGCTTCTCTGAAAATATAGCCAATAATTTGGGATGGAGTAAATGTCTCATGTAAGTGCTAAAACATGTTGATTTTGAATAGCAAGAAAGAAATCAGTCCTGATATAATCTGTGTGTTTTGTGTTATTTTATGGATTTTATGGATTGTCTTTCTCAAGTCAAGTCCAGTAAGGTTTACAGTCGAGGTTCGGTGGTAATGGTTGATGAAATCATCAAGGCCAGTCCTCCAAATTACCGTTTCCCTGAAGCCGGTCTCCGTGTGATGGTCACAAACCACTTCGGACCCAAGCCTCGTCTGCGCATGGCCAGCCGTCTCATTATAACAGAGGTATGGCAGACACGAAATTGAAATAAAAAGAAATAAAAATATTGGAATATTCATCATTATCTAAAAAAAATTATGCATATAT